TCTTTCGATTTCTAGTCAAAACAATCGAGAGACGTCAGAAAAGACCACAGATGGCTGTCATGTTGGGTAGATGAAGAAACGCCCCAGTGTACCCACAGGGGGGCCTGGGGTTAACTGAGGCGTGGAGACTCAGGTCCCAAATGGCTAAATTATTATTGGCCCAGTTCTGTGACAGCCAACACTTACTTCTGTCCTACATACAGAATGACAGAATGACGGCCCATTGCTGGTCCACTCCTGGCTGCCAGATCTCAATCACATGAACTGAGGTTTGTGGTGACACAATACCTAAAATATCAAAGTTAAAGCTAATGCAGGTAGAATGGGTGTTACATCATTGTTATTAAAAATGAAACAAGAATATTTTGGAAGACATAACAACTAAATATGTCAGATAGAAGTGATATATCCAATATGTTCCATTGTAAATATATATATATATCACCATCAGACAACATACAGTCGAAATACGCAAGGGAGACTACATCACAGTTGTACTTACTGAAGAGTGTTCTTTGCATTGATGACATAGAAAGGAAAAATACTGAGTCAAAGGTGTGGTATGGTTTACAACGATGCATGGATTACCCTGTCAAACTTCTGCTTTTGTTTCTTTAAAGTTACCTGCCCTTCGAAAATATGTTTTGCGTTACTCGAAGTGTTTTCCTGTCACACAGCATTTTTTTTTAAAGTTTTTCAAGTGTTTAAAAGTTTTTGCGGGATTGCTTGTACAATACACCGAATAAAATCAGATTATATAAAACTCTTCACTTTGTTTCCAACGCCTGAGCAATGAGTAGCTAAATCTTTAATTGCTTCTCTTTTTCCACAGAACAGGGGAGATCCTGGTCACGTAACTGAGACCGATGGGAGAGGAATGACAATAAATTATTTATTAAAAGACTATGCAATTAACCTAGGTTAACACAAATTCAAATAAGAGCGCCACCTATCCAAATAAGACCGGTAGAGCACCCAGATTCCATTTAATTTAACGTTTTCCATTGTAACAATGGAAAAGAATTACTAAATTTATATGTACTTAAATTGCATGAAATCATTATTTTGGGCATAAATAGTTAGTTTTGAGTGTATAAATACTGAGAACTGTGCACCCAGTTAAAAATTGGCATTTCTGATAGTCACTCAATGTTATTCCTGCATGAGGGCTCAGATTTTGCATCATACACACTTTGTAACAAGTGCAGGAATTACATTATATGATAGTGGACACGAGGAAGAAGAGGAGGCCTCATCAGCCGCTGTTAATCCAGGGCCTTGAAGTGGAGAGGGTGATCAGCTTTAGGTACCTGGGTGTCTACATCTCTGAGGACCTCACCTGGTCACTGAACACCACACAGCTGGTCAAGAAGGCTCAGCAGCGGCTGTATTTCCTGGGGAGGCTGAGGAAATTTGGTATGTCGGCCAAGATCCTCAGCAGGTTCTACAGCTGCATTGTGGAGAGCACCCTGATCAGCTGCATCACTGCATGGTACGGCAGCGCTACTGCTATGAACCGCAAACACCTGCAGAGAGTGATAACAACTGCGGAGAAGATCATCAAGACTCCACTGCCCTCTCTGCAGAGCATCTACCATCGCAGAGTCCAGAGGTGAGCTGCCTCCATCCTCAAAGACCCCACACACCCCCAACACGGACTGTTCACACTTCTGCCCTCGGGGCGGAGGTTCAGAAGTGTGAAATCCACAACATCCAGACTCACTATCTCCTTCTTCCCCACTGCCATCAGACTCTTGAACAGCTGACCTTTTTTTGAACAGTAATAATAAAAATTTTTTGCACATCAAGTCATCCTGCAAATTAAGCCAGCATATTAAGCTAAAGCTCTTTTGCACACATCTCTGTTTCACATCTCCATATTTTGTCTGCTTTTCTGTCTTCATTTATTTATTTGTACTATTTGTATTTATATGTTCTATTTCTATTGTATATGTTAATCAGCATCTGTGGATGGACAGCAAAGAAAGAATTTCATTGCACAGAGAAATGCCTTTTTGCTTGTGACACATGACAATAAACACTTTGAATCTTGAATACAGTTGCATACATCCAATCTCCTAATAAAGCATTAATTTAAAAGATGAATTTATATCTTGAGGCTCCATGTTGTGTTTGCAAAATAAAAATATTTAACTACAATCTGAAATACAGCAGGGTGTTGATGCCTTGAGTTAGCAATATGTAGATAACATAATTATATCAGCTAGAAAGTAAACCGAGTGACAACCTTTGTACTCAGTTTGAGCACTCAAACCACTTTCTATTTGCAAGTCTCATTCACACAATCCTTTTCCTTTACATCTAAGCACTTTTTCTTACATTCACACACAAACTCACTCTTTGATGGATGCAGTGGGGGTAACTTGGGGTTCAGTATCTTACCTGGGGATATATGGACTAGAGATCAAACCATCAGTCTGATTGGTAGACAACCTGCTCTACTACCTGAGCCACAGGCGCCTGATGAAGGATATTGAAGATGCTGCTGGGTTTGATATGAAACAGTAATAACTCTATTAGATGACATACCAGGTAATACTGGAACAGCAGAGCGAACAGTGGGCTACCAAGGTACACGGCTGCAAAAACTGAACGCAGAGAGCACAAATCTATTGTCACTGAGAGGCGAGGCATACCAGCAAGAGACCTGCAGGTGGCAGGCAAGAGTCAACAATTAGAAGGGCTTTCTTCAGTTCTATACAACCAAAACTGTTGCTGTCATTAGATTAAAACTGAGAAAGTAAAAATAATGACAGATCATTAGATCTTCTGCAAAATTAGCATTTTTTTAAAAAATTTTCGTCTAACATATGGATCTCATTACATGAAATGTTTTCTTTAACCATATCAGCACCAACAGCTTCTGGGTGTTTTTGTTTGTTTGGGTGGGTTTTTTTGTTCCTGTTACACTTTTGCTCACAGAAGGTTTTTTGGTTTGTTTGTTTTTTTCTTACACCCCTAGAGACAGTTTACTTTACAAAAACTTCCTTAATCTTAACCTAACCTATTTTTACATGCAACATTTACTGGGAGTTTTTGTCACAAAATTAAAGATACTTAGTGTACATGAATGTACCGTTTTTTAGATGTTACCTTTATTTCTTCAAAAAAAACAAGACGATTGATATGTGTAATCCTAATCATTTCAGGTACACACAGTCTCTTGTTCAACCTACTCTTTTACAGTATAATTGCTAACTGGGAGAATATGATGGGATTGTCCTGGATCACATTTTCTGCTAAAATTCTGCAGTTGCCGGTAATTATTTTTAATTTAATTTAATTCCAGGATATTCTGTCTTATTTTAAAGGTAAAGAAAAAAAACATTGTGGATAAAAGCTTAAGGAAACTGTCCTCATAAATATTGTGTTTACAGTTCAGTTGCTCAGGTCAGATGATTTATTTTCCTGCATCAGCAAATCCGTGACACCATGAGTAAGGCCAGTTCCTAATTTCACAAGGAACAGATGATCTCATGTTCTCATGCAAGTCAAAAGTAATAAGTTGCAAAAAAAAGCAGGATATCACTTTAAGTAATATAAAGAAGTTAGATATATTAAACACTCCAGTACAAAGACCAGAGAAAAAAATAGAACTGAGCTGACTTTACTTTCATTTTTTTTTACATATAAAGAAAACTTTTATACAAAGACTATAGATTAAGATCTACATAATAATCCTATGCAAAAATAAACACTACATTTTATTTAAGTTGGTCAGCAAGGAAGTTTTCTATCAATGTGAATAAGAACATAACGATGTGCTCAGTGGATTCTAATTTTGACAACTCCAGGTTTCTAACTCGTGTTTTAATGTATTCTGACAGCAGACGTTTTTGTGTGTCAGCAGTTCACACTGAAGTGATTTCCTACTAAACTTCCAGCTAATAAAGCTGTGGTAACAATCCGGGATAAGCCTTATAACTTTATCATATGCTCTTGTACTCTCACAGATGGACAAGTACTGATGCAGACGGAGTTTGGGTTTGAGATTGGTTGGAATGATTTTTCTTAATTACATTATCTATAGCCATGCATGTTCTCTTGATGAGGCAAGAGATTCATCTTCTTATCTCAAGAAAACACAGATAAGAAGGTGATTAATCAAATGAAAACAACTTTTGTTTTCATTACACAACATGATTATGGAGACCTTGGTAGCCACGAAGATGGCCTAGTCCCCTTATCTGGTTACAGATGAAGTTAATAATCACTGAAGAAGGAGACTAACACTTCATTCATGAAACTGTGCCCATTTTCTTCTTTAATGAGGACTAATCTGATTGTTATCTTGCCTTAAAACATGTTTCCCTGTGCCATTCCTTAATTCAAAAGGCACTTGATTTGACTTGTGCTTATTCTTATTCCTACTTTTAAAAATATCAATGTTAAAAAATTTAAAGTTTTTACAGAGCAAAAGTGAAGCGTCTCCACATGAACACACACACACACACACACAGAGAAGTAATCACTGCAGTCTTCTCTGGAAAATGGGAGGGCTGTTTATCTCAGCAGTAATGTCAGCAGTTCACTTTCCTGCTTAAAGAGAAAGAACCTATGGTACTGATCCAGTCATTCTCAGTGTTGTGATTCATACATTAGTACATTACATTTTATACATTCTACAAAGGATAAAGAAAGGAAGCCATGTATTTTTATATTGTCTTTATTTAGGTAAATTCTCGCATTAGTCCACAAATTACATATGAATGTTCACCAGATTTTACACAGGATCCATGACAATGAAGATGAAATTTATTCATAATAATTCATTTATTTATTTTTTTCTCTATCCTGTCGCAAACACACCCACTCGTGAACTTTTAATTAAAAATAACCAAACGCAACCACAGTCTTTTCACGCAATGAACACTTTTTTTCACAGCTCTGTATAACAAGTGGTTTCGAGTGTAATTCATCATATCAGTCAAGTGGTGACAATGTGATGACTGTTGTAAGTGCGACAACTGCGATTGCTCTCTGAGGATAAAAACGAGCACTCCGACCCTGCACTGATGGCCGAAGATGATCCCTCCGAGTTGCCGTAGCGCTGCAAGGCTGTGGCACTCCTCCTTCAATGAACGGTGGAAAGATGGCGACAGCATACGCACAAGCGAGAGTCGACTGTACCGGCGGATAAAAAGTGCTGTAAAGAGACAAAATCCACCTCCTTTGCAGAGATTTAGCGGTGCAAAGTGTGTTTGATATAGCTAAGACATGGTATAGCCCATGCACAGCTTGAAATAAGGAGCCACCGCTTTGTTATGGAGCCGCCGGATCGGAACAAGCCCAGCAGGTAAGCGATTTCGTTGAACAGACACTTTATCGCCAGGATTTCGCAGTTGCCGAATAGTGAGCTAGCCATGACACTGCAGTCGGAGCGCTTGCGCATCCAGCAGAAATCGACTTCCTGTCAAATAGTGATACCCGTGCAGTTAATGCATTTGCAGAACACTAGTTGTAAACTTTTTGGAGAAACACTTTCCGGGGGAGCTTGCTGCATATAATTTATTCCCAAGCAGTGCTCGGTTGGCCGTGAGAGAGCCAAAAATGCTCACCAAATACTGAGGTAGCGTTATTAACAATTACCAACCGCTATAACAGTGCAACAGTCCCAGCTAGCTAACATCCACATTAGCCGCCGCTAGTCAGTTTATTGTTCAGGCGCAAGTTTGTTGACAGAAACTGAGGGGGCTGAAACTGCGTTAGTTTTGCACTGCAGGGCTCTAAATGGGGACTTGAATATATATTTTTTTATTATTTTGTCTCGCCGAGCTGTGCATTTCCCTTCCAGTAACAGAAAAGCAAAAACTTCGCTACTGTAGCTAGCATGTTGCTTCACTGTTATTGTTAACTCCGTGGGTACATTCGGCGCCGGTGCTGGACGTTGAATCTGCGCTTTCAGACTTGGTGCATTTCATGTTGGCTCACTATTACTGCAGGAATAAGAGTGTGGTTGATAACATGTCGCAAACGTGCCGCGCTGCGGATGTTTGGGCGTACTGTATGCACTCAAGTGCAAAGTTAGTGCGCGATATATTTTGTGCAATCGCGCAGGAGACCGCGTTTTAACCAGAGTCTCAGGAGATTTCGATATGGGCGCATCTGGTAATCGAAATGCCGCAGTGTTTGCCCCTGACCGCTGGCGACAGACCCTCAGGAATCTGCTGTTGTGTCTTCCCCTCTCCTCCTCCTTCTCTCATGCAGTTTTTTGGGAGGGGGGGCAGAGCGAGAAGCATTTTTCATGTTGGATCAGCTCTTGTCATCTGCCATAATCACATTTTTTGAGTAAATAGCCAGTCTTTTCCTTTTTGGTGGCTATTTCGGCAATGATTGCGTAGCAGCCACTTGTTATTACCTTGCGCTTTTGTGGTCACTCAGTCGAAGTGGATACACAAACAGCTCGCGTGATTGTGCAACATTGGCCCTGAGTTAGTATATTGCTGTCCGACATGACTGCATGAAGAAAATTGATGAGCCAGTGGCCACATTATTGCTGAGAGTATGTTGGTTATGTTGATGTTACTTACATGCTTATTAGACCACGTTTAGTTTGTGCACCAGCAGATGAAAAGGTAACCGTTGCTCTATGGGAGCTCACGCAAACGCTCAGCGGTGTTTTACTAGTTAACAAATGTTTTAAGTGAGTCTAAATCTGTCTCTCCTGCAGGGTTTGCTTTCCTGCTGTTTCTATAGTAATGGGACTACTATAAACTGCCAGCAAAACTTGTAAACAGCAGAGTTTACATGTTCCAGGCTGCAAGGTTTGCACAGAAGCGACATTAGTTCAGCCTCTAGCGTGCTCCATGATGCATGGCTCTGCATATACATTTAAACTGCAGACTGAAAAGACAACAACAAATAAGTTTGCTTTTAGTCTTCTCGGCTATCTACCTCTTTGAGCTTATATAAGATTGTTTCGCACCAACAGCTATTTTAAGAAACATCAGTTATGTGCTCGCTCTGCAGTTGAAGGCTATCCCTATCTTTGCAAGTACAGAGGTCCTTTGTCAATAATGTCTCGTTCTCAAAGTCAGTCTGAAGACACTGTGGCTCACAAGCATTCCAGAGATTTCAGGATGTGGTGTGCTATGTGCAGTAGATAGCTGCCTGGAGCCCCGTAGGCGCACATTGGGCAGAACTCATTAATGCTTCGCTTTTGCCAGGAGCACAGGCTGTAGAATACAGATGGATCATCCTCTAGCATTTCCTATCTGCATCCTGTCTTTGCCCACACCTGCTTTAGAGAAAGAAACTAACACTCTCACAGGCTGCCACTCTCATCTGTCATTTCCTTTTAAACAATAGCACTTTTGTAACTGCTGAACTGTGGCAACTGATGTTGCTAATGCAGGAGAGCGACCGTGTAATAAAAATGATTAAGCACCGCTGAATACCATGTTTGTCTATTTTGAATACATGCTTTATAATGTGCACAGCTGCAGAACAGGGTGCAAGTTTGAAACTAAAAGAGGTGTTGCTTATTTCTCTCTGCAGTTTCAGATTACGTTTCAAAGGTGGAGCAGACTGCTGCTTTCACCGCATTTATAATGCATGCGTCATAAGGTGAAAAACATGTCATTACACCATTTAGCATTTAACTCGCGCTCCAGCCGACAGTGTGCAAACAGCGTCTGCTTTAGCTGCTGCTGGTGCAGACTTTTCTTAGACCAAGACTGTTCCCTGTGGTGAGCAAAGTACAAGTCCAGATATTAATCAAAGCAGTGTTTTAGAAATAAGTTCACTTTTTTTTCCTGGAGCTATGAATCAGAGTGCGTTTAGTGACAAAATCAAACTTCTTAGCTGTGCATTAACAGTGTGCTTTGCATAGTTAGTGCATGCAGGAGAAGTTGGGAGGTCACGCTGTTCCAGCAAAGGGTGTGGTGAAGTACATCTTGTTCATTGTTTCTGAATTCTGTCAGCTTACGATGCAAAAACTGATTGCTGCTTCAGCTCTGCCAGTTTATCAGGCGTTAACAGCATGTCAGGAATGCTTAATGTTGCACACACGTGTGCTGCATTTCCACGGAGCCCACCAATTGCTTTTTAATCTTATGCGCTCAGCAGTGAACGATGGTTTGAAATTAGTACCCCGCAGATGCATGCTTTTTACCGGGGGGGGGGGGGTAATTCAAAACTGTATTTAGCCTACCAGTTAGGCATCAGTTATGGCAGCATGACCTAATTAAAGCAAAGTGTGCTCTTACAAAAACCCGACCACCTTCTCCTCCTTTTCCTCTCTGTGGAAAAAAAACAAAAACAAAAGTCCCCTTTAGTTTGGGCATTGTGAGCAAGTGTGCTCACTAACCAGCTGTGTGGTATTCAGCCGTGGGCCTCACGGGCCACGTGTCAGCGTTATACAATAGAGAGCCCCTTGCTGGTACAATAGTGTGGATGGTTTGTGTCAAAGGTCAGCCCCCCCGCGACTCTGGCAGCCCTTGGTATCTCTGCTTCAGTCACTATACAGAAAAGACTCTCGATTTTTGTGCCGTTTATTATTCACTTAGTGTTCTGCCTGGGGCTTTAGCATTCCACTGGCCTTTATGGGAGCCCCAATGAGCCATCAGATGAGCCATTGAGAGCAGCCAGACACCATCTGCAGTGATTATTCACTATCAGCAGCCAGGCAGGGACAGCTTGAAGACCACAGTGCTGCTATGGTTAACTGCAGGACACACATGCTGGTAACTTTGTGCAGCCTGTAAGTAGGTTAAGAAATTCACAAGACAAATTTGCGTATCCCTTCCTGCAACGGCACAGCCTGTGCTCGAAGCGTGTCATGGCAACCTAACAAACAACCGGCCCCAGTGGCGTCATTGGTTCCGCTCTCATTCCTGAATGATTGAATCACAATGTTCTGCGTAGAGGAGTACGTTTTTAAAACTTGGTCTCATTCCCTCGCTCACATGTATGTACTATTTCTGTCCTTTTTCTCACATGGACACACACACACATCCAGGCTTTCGAATGTTTACAAATGCGCACACAATGTGATCACTTGTGACACACGTACGCACACACATGCCGTAGGAGTTTTTGAAGCATAACAGGTTTTTAAATGCGTTCTCGTACTAATGCAGGAGTACGGTGTGTATTTCAGCGTTCAGCAGTTTTTGTAAATCTGCTTTCTTCTTGCAGCTTCCTGATACCTGTCTCAATTATCGCATAACAAAAACCAAACTCATTTGTCTGTTGTTGTGATTAATGCCTTTATTGTAAGGAACACAGTTGCCTACTGTGCATGCACACTGGAAAGTACTGCACGGCGTTTTGTCCGTCTCTTGCAGAACAAGTTCCCTCACAGTACACTCATAGAGTACATTCATAATGAAGTCAGTGTGCTTTAATTTAAGGGTTGATCTGCGATTTGTTCTGTGACTGTTCTGGGTAAACTGGTTGTGCTGTCACGGAGATTAATGGGTTGTTAGAGGTATTGACAAAAAATTTCAAATATTTTAAAACAAAAGGGCTTATTTCCAGTGAAGTTACGAGAACATATCTAAAGCATTCAAGTCGGTAGGTCCAACAAGTTAACATCTGAGTTTATAGGCTGTTTCACAAGATGGGAGCTTCTAAGTGCTTAAATAATTCGAGACATTTTCCATGAACAGAAACTTGCTGTTCACTTTGCAGTGACCCTGAGAATGACGGTTGTTCTGTGAGAACAGGTATTCGTGATTGCAGCTAATCTTGCACATGCAGCATTTTCAGCAGGTGTTCTGACCTGTGTCTGCCTGCATGTAGCTCCACAGCTGCTCCCACACACTCTCTATCTCTGCATGTGTATGTGTGGAGAGTCACATAGGCATTCTGCCGGGGGGGGGGCAGATGGGTGAAAGAACTGCAGCCCCGTCCACTCACACTCCCCAGGTGACAGCGACACACCCATCCCCCGTTTGAAGCTGCCAGCACACAGGCTAACAGGCACGTGTAGGGGAATGCCTTTGAGTCAGATGATCAGCAGATGCACACATGGTGACTTGCATAAATATAATAGATGTCACCCGTTTTCATTTGCCTCCCCTTCTTCCCCATTGTTTTATTTTGGCTGGGTCAGCCCTTGTAACCTTTCTCTCTAATCCTATTAAAAAAACCTCTCAGAAAGGCCTTAGGGCACAGAGCTTTGACATTGTAATCTAGAAAGGCGTGGTGCTCTTCCACATTACTACCCCTCCCCTTTTCCCCTTTTTTCCCACAAGGAAGTGTTTCGAGTGTTTGTAATCTTTCCTTTCTGCAGAATTAGCTGCTACAGCCTTTCAGAATGCTGGTAAACGCCTGTGGTATCCAATATTTATTGTTTCCTCAAGATTTCCTGGAATCTCCTGGGGGTGTTATGCTGTTTTGCATAAGAACCATATTTGCATGCAACTGTGCAGTATGACTTAGACAGATTTAATGATGGGTTACTATAACTCCCTTTTTGGTCAAGCTATATGTTTACCAAGACACACACAAACAGTTTGATATCCTGCACCTGGATGCCTGTGGTCATGCACAGACTATTGCAGCCAGAGAGATTCCCCCCTCCAGGGCAGACAAGTCGTCACACTGCTGTGGGTAGTAGCAGACGTTCAGTCTAGCTGCAGTTTAGCAGCCTGTCTCCTGTGGCATTCAGGATTTGCTGCACAGTCTGTTATTGGTGCAAACAGACGAGCACTATTTGACCTTGTGCACACATTTCTTAGGTCGTGCTTGTGATATGAATGAAATGGTTTCATAATGCCAAGTTGTTGTGTCTCCAAATCTAGTTTCTGTTCCAGGTAACAGTTCTTATGCATATAGGCCAGTCTAATTTAAATATGCAGATCTTGCTCAGACCAATGGGTTGTCTTTTCTGTTGTCATTCATGCCTGACAGGCAGGCCAAGCCAGTGGAAAATGCATCCCTACGGAGCCAAGAAGTGGCTGAATCCTGTGACTCTCCCAGTGAGGAAGAGGAAGCTCTGTATGGGACATCACCTCCATATAACGCCCGTCAGGTGAAACACATGTCTAGCAAACACCTGAGGAACAGTCAGGGGAGGAGCGCTGGGGGGTCTCCAAACAAATGTAAGTTAGTAAATCGATTTTACCGATAAATGTGTACTTAGAAACCCCACATTACATGCAGGTTTTACACACAGTGTTCTGACTGGAAGTCTGTTTCTTTTCCCAGCTGACGCCAGCTCATCTGCCCTGAAGGACAGTCCCAAGGCAGTGGAGACATCTAAGGAGCACAGCTACAAACAGGGCAAGAAACTGAGGTCTGCACAGCGCTCCACAGAGAGAGATCACAAGAAGACATTTGAAGGCTCATTTATGCTGGATCCCCTCTCAAAGCCCCTCATGGAAACCAGAAAACATTACTTGAGTTTGGGCTGCAGTCGCAGTCTTCCTGTGTCTATGCCCCATATGTCCCGCACCCACCGGCAGACCTCAAGGACAGACTGTCCTGCTGATCGCCTCAAATTCTTTGAAACTCTGCGGCTGCTGCTCAAGCTCACATCTATGTCCTCCAAGAGGAAAGAGAAGGAGCAGAGAGGCCTGGAGAACATGCCTTACTTGGGTCACAATAATGAGGTTATTTGGCTGGAGCTGCAGGCATGGCACGCACGGCGTTCCACCGGTGACCAAGACCTTTTCCTTTTCACTGCCCGCCAAGCTATCCCTGACATCATTAACGAGGTTCTGCACTTTAAAGTCAACTATGAGAGCCTGATAGGGGCTCAGTGTTCAGAGTCTCAAGCAATTCAGGAGGACTATCAGAGAGTCCCTGATCTAGTTTGTGAAGAGAAGAGGGAGCCTACTGTAGCAGAGAGCAACCACTGTGGAGTAGATCCCTGGGGCTTTAGGGCCTGCCCCTCATCAACAATGAATGCAGCAGAGCCTCTTGGCTCTGGCGCTGATTGCAGGGAGCATCTTCAACGTCAGCGGCTGGCATTTGAGCAGGTCAAGCGAGTTATGGAACTGCTGGAGTCTGTGGAAGCTTTGTACCCCTCTTTGCAGGCCTTACAAAGGGACTACGAAAAGTATGCAGCACGAGACTTTCAAGGCAGGGTGCAGGCGCTCTGTCTGTGGCTCAATATCACCCAGGACCTAAACCAGAAGCTGCGCGTTATGGCCACAGTGTTGGGCATCCATGACTTATCCCGTATCGGGTGGCCCGTCTTTGAGATCCCTTCACCTCGCTGTTCTCGCGGAAACGAAGATGAAGAGAATGACGACGACGACGAGAACGACTCGATAACCACTTTTACCACAGAAAGTGACGTCGAGGACAGATATGGCGAGGACAATGGAGAAGCGAGTCCTGTCACAGAGGGAGAGTTGTCTCCCATCCTGACTCCTAAATTTGCCCGTTTGTTGTCCGAAGATGAATTTCTTCCAAATGCTACTTCAGGAAATGCAGAAGCATCCGTGGGAGGAGGGGTGTTCTGCCCAACATCCATCTACAGACCATTTGTGGATAAAGCTCTAAAACAGATGGGACTACGTAAACTGATCCTCAGACTGCACAAACTGATGGATCGCTCTCTTCAGAGATCCAGAGCAGCACTGCTCCGCCACACTCTTGCACTAGAGGTGAGGCTGTTATTCTAAGAAATCTGGTAATAAAAAGGAGTCACATTAGTAAAGCTACATCTGGGTGTGTCATATATCCAGGCCCTGCTGGTTAATGACTTAGTTACTTTTCTATAAATCAATTAACAGCCATATGATTTTTTGTTTTTTTATTTTTTACGGATCGAGCTTTTTCTTGTTTACAAAATATTTATAAACAAAATAAAAATAGAACCAAGTTATAGAAATGATTAAACAAATTAAAACCAAATTAATTTTACCACAAGCTCTGCAACAGAATTATTTGAAGTGTGATCGTCATTGTATGTTAAATATAATTGGTTAATTAAGCTGCTGTGACTGTTTTGGTCATTTGAATCTTTAATATAAAAGAAGAAAAGATTAAAAAGATATAAATCATTCTACTGATAGATACTGATACATTGATTTCTAAAATTGGATTGGTAGTTTAAGTTGTCATTGAGAACAGTAATGGCTTGTAAACACCAAATACTCAAAATACTCAAATACTCACAAGTCGGCCCAGGTAAAACCCCCTACTCACGCCAAGTCATAAACAATTGGGCTGACTTGTCTTATCTGCATTACCTGGCACGTCGTTAGCATATGTATAGAGTTTTAAGTAGGGGGGTTATGTTTGCGCTGCCCTTAAGGAGTGTAGTCTGTGAGATGTGGTTAGCTGCACATCTGCTTGCCAACTTTTTTTCAGATGCTGATGAAAGGCTAATTATTTCCTTTGTTTAATTTATTTAAAGTAAAATACTTTGAGGTTCTGCCAATTAATATAATGGTATATATTACGCATTGTTTGCATGCTGTGGATTGTAACAGACTGTTTCCCAAACATCTGTTCAATCGTAATTTATTGTAAACAGTGAAACAAGATAATCAAATGCATTTTTCAGTAACAACGTTCTTTGTAGAAAAAAAGGAAACACTAGGAAATGAAAATTTTGTTTTTAATCAATTATTTACAAGAATTCATTTCAAGGAATCAAAGTTTAATTCATTGCACTCTAGAGCTGAATTGCAACGTGACAACTGAGTGGCCTCATAATTCATGCAAAAATGTATTTGTTATTAAGTATGTGTGGTTTTTCTAAGCGGATCTATACCCAGAAAGTTGATTCTGTTCAGTGGGTGAAATATTTTGTCATTCAGCTGAGAAACAGTGAAGTTTCTCCCACTAAAAATGTAACATTCAGATAAACAGAATCAACTTTCTGGGATTTCCTTGCGAGGATGATTAAGCATGCATCAAGACAAATGGGTACGTAGTATAGAGCTTTGCACTAGCAAAAGATCCCTGATTTGACCCCACGCGGAGAAACAATTCCTTTTAGGGTTTCCATCAGTGAGAAAAAAATCAAACATGCAGAGCTGCCTGCCGTTGCAACCCATTGTGAATAACAGAGCAGACAAAAGTAGAATTCAGTGTGTGTGTGGGTTTTTTTTTCCCAGTTAAAGCAATGATACAGTAAATTAGTTCTAAACAGCTGAATAGCATTTTTGTCCACAGAAGCAGTGTAGCAACTCGTTATATTGTTTGTATGTTAATATAATTTAATTAGTCACTTGAGGAAACCTCATTTCGAGAAGTTCTTACAGGTAGAAGCTTACAAGAAGTCCCCTTCCTCCGAGACTTTCTTAATTAAGTTCACACTCCTCTTCCACTTGTAGTTTGCAGACTTTCCAGACCCAATGCTGTACAGCGATTACCTGCCTGAGCTGTCACGACACGATCAGTTCAGCGGTCCTGCTGACCCTGAGCTCGGAGCGGACCAGGTGTCCTGGGCGGATCTGCTGGACATGGATCTTCCATCCTTCCGGCCAGCGTTCCTTGTACTGTGTAGAGTCCTCCTCAACGTCATTCATGAATGCCTTAAACTGCGACTTGAACAAAGGCCCGCTGGAGAGCCCTCGCTGCTCAGTATCAAACAGGCAAGCAGCTGTCCAAGTCCTTGCTTTTTTCTCCTCGGTTTTAGTTTATAACTTCTCAACAGTCCTGTGATGCCTGCAAACATGCAGTTTAAACTTTTGGTGAACAATTAGCCTTAACATTTGTTGTACACAAGTGTTCTTACATGCGTTTGCTTGTGCTCTGCAGTTGGTGCGCGAGTGTAAAGAGGTCCTTAAAGGAGGTCTTCTGATGAAGCAGTATTATCAGTTCATGCTGCATGGTGTGGTGACTGACGCTCAGGGCTTGCAAATAAACGCCAATATTGATGAATTTGAAGAAGATCTTCACAAGATGTTGGTGGTAAGTTTCCCAGCCATTCTCCCGCCTCTATTTTCAAACTGTAGTTTGTGATTATTCACCGTGTGCTGCTTTTTGTGCAGGTTTACTTTGACTACATGCACAGCTGGATCCAGATGTTGCAGCAGCTGCCTCAGGCCTCTCATAGCTTGAAGAACCTGTTGGAAGAGGAGTGGCACTTCACCAAGGTCATCACTCCTTACATCCGTGGAGGAGAGGCCCAGTCTGGGAAGCTTTTTTGGTGAGTGAACCCGCAGTCGGTCAGAAATGTGCCATTTTTAAAACCGAGTGACCGCATTCTTGTTTTAGTCACGGCGCCTGCTTGCAGAAGTTTATTAATCATTTATATAAAACTGAGCAGTGTTCCGCTCTCTGCAGTGACATTGCTGGGATGCTGCTCAAATCCACTGGAGAGTTCCTCGATGCTGGTCTGAAAAAGAGTGATAATGAATTCTGGGAAAGTGCGGATGACAGCACCGCCTCAGATGAGATCAGGTGAGGATGATTTCAAGATTTCATCAAGTTTTTATTGATGTTTTTGTCCCAGTGCATTTTGATTTTAAACTCTGAAGCTTTTAATTTTTGCAGGCGGTCCGTTGTTGAGACTAGTCGGTCTCTTAAAGAGCTGTTCCACGAGGCCAGGGAGCGAGCATCTAAGGCCCTGGGCTTTGCCAAAATGCTTCGTAAGGTGAGAAACTGACATAGGAAAGAATATTCACTTCCTTGACTTAAAAAGAAAAAAAGAAGACGCAACAGTACTGGCTTTGCAGTTTGTCTGTCACCCTGTTTTCTGTGTTTACCGAAGCACCGGGATTGTGTTTTGACACGTAGTTTGTGTGCACCCTTCTCTGCAGGACTTGGAGGTTGCTGCAGATTTCACTATCACTAACGGTGTTACTTGTCTCCTCGAGGCACTGAAGAAAAGAAACTATGTCAAGGTGTTTATTTTGTTTTGCTTTTATTATATTTTATTTTGCCAGTTTCTGATCTTCCTTCTGCCCTGGGGTTATTTATGTAACTGTT